ATGACCCCAAATGACTCCCAGTTTGGGGTAGTTTGGGGGTCGCCTGATGGTTTAGGGAAACCTCTAGAAGAGGGACGTGAGTTGGTGTCATGTGTGTCCATGAAGTGCTGAGTGAAATCTAGCCTTCCAGACCCTCAAGTCCTGCCCAGGTTGCTCAGAAAGCATTTCCACCATCCTCTGCCTCCTGAAGCTTTCCAGTTAGGGGCAGCTTACTTCAGAGGCTCAGGGCAGGGGTCCCCAATGCCATGCTGTAGACAATGCGTGTCTGAGAAAAGGCTTCTCCTGAGCCAAAACGAGGACAATAACGCCCCACAGAAAGACTGTGTTCTTAACCAATCTGAACTGTGTATCTTCCCACCCATTTTTTGGATATTAAAATGTCTTTCCAAGATGACCAGTGCAAGTTGCATGCATGAAGCAGGGCACTCAAAGCCGGTGCCGTGGGACTACCAAGAGGGGTGGCATGGGGAGGGAGCTGGGAGGGGGTTCAGGGTGCGGGGACATGTGCACCTGTGGCTGACTCATGTCGATGTATGGCAAAAAACACCATAATATTGTTAAGTAATTACCCTCCAATTAAAATAAACAGGTTAATTTTTTTAAAAAAACCTTCCTTTCTCTTGGCCATAATGCCATCATACAGAGAGAAAGCATGAGTCCGTGACTTCACCAGACCTAGCTCTTCCTCACCTCTGCGCTTCCTCCTCTCTGGACCCATTATTTAATGTCGGCAGTTACCCCCTAAACCTCACTCTGCCCTGCACTGACACAGTGATGCACCTCTTAGAACTTCTTGTCCAGCTGTTACATGTATATTATTCTTGGCCCCCAAATGTCCCTTATATGCGTTGTGAGCTCAACAACCACATACAGCCCTTTTAACTCCTGGAACCTCACACTGCACTGAATACCAAGTCCCTGTTTCAAATGCTTTTTGACTTTTTTTTTTTTTAATATGTCATATCACAGAGTGCCTGACACCAGTGTCAGCAATTTTTATTGTCTTTTTTCTGGCCTAAATGATGTCTCAGCAGCGAGCTGGCATCCGCAGGGAGAACGTGGTGTGAGGAGATTGCTAATATGCGGTGATAGTTTGCAATGAGAAAGTGAATAACATAAAAACGAGAGCAGGCGTTTATATTTGGAACTGAATGGTTGTGGATAGGAAGTTTCAAAAAAAAGATTGAGCCCTCGTATCTTTATTTTTATATGTACGCCCGCCAAGATGACCCTGAACAAGAAATCGAAATTTTATTTTGATTTTCTTCGAGGATTATTGCCTTTTGCAATGGAAAATGACAACTCATCAAATGCATCATGTCTGCTGTAGGCTGCAAAGATGACCAGACAGCAGAAGCTGTCATTGTGTTCATGCTGCTTCAAGTAATATTATTACTTGTCCATTTTGCTAAACCGAATGTATTTTCTCTCTTTTTTTTTTTCTTATCGAAGTCAGGGATGAGGACATTTTGGCTTGATATTCCACTGAGCATAGTAACCAGATAGCTACTTCACTGAAGATGATATGAATTTATATAACTCTTGGTGAGCTGGGCAATGATTTAGGGTTAATTTTTTTTTTTAAAGTCTAATAATACTCTTAAAGAGTGCCAAAGCCAGATCCGGATCTTTGTAACAGAAGCAGATTTTATGAAAAATAAACTACTTTGGGACCTTGCATGGAAAAATTAACCCCAAGCAAATAGATAGGTCATCTGTCTTTCTGGACATGATGTGTTGTGTTAGTCACTCAGTCATGTGCAATTCTTTGTGACCCCATGGCCTATAGCCCCACAGGCTCCTCTGTCCGTGGAATTCTCCAGGCAAGAATACTGGAGTGGGTGGTCATTTCCTTCTCCAGGGGATCTATGACATGGGTTGGTCATCGGAGCTGAGAGTTTCCTGTGGAACACCCAGGCTGGCCACCTCCATGAAGGGGGTACCAGGGGCTTTGTGCTGACCTTATTCCTGTTTTCCTCTGTGGAAATGTCCTGAGAGTTGTAGCAAGGTGTGGCTGTCTAGATAATACAGTAGTGCTCCTACCAAGACGGGTCTCCTGATACGTTTAGCAAAAGGGAAAGGAGCTGATGATCCCATCCTCAAAGGGTTTCCCTAGAGTGCCAGGCACACTTGGGCATCCCTGAAAGAGTTCTGTGCCCTTGAGGCAGGACCGACTCTGTGTGATTCTTAGTGTGCATGTTTAGTCCTGCCCGAGTCTTTGTGACCTCTTGGACTTTAGCCCACCAGGCTCCTCTGTCCACAGAATTTTTCAGGTAAGAATATCAGTGCAGGTTGCCATTTCCTGTTCCAGAGGATCTTCCTGACATAGGGATCGAACCCATGTCTCTTGTGTCTCCTGTGTTGGCAGGCAGATCCTTTACCAACTGTGCCACCTGGGAAGCCCTTGCTCCAAAAATTATTAAGGGTTTCAAGACAGCCACAGCAGAGAATGAAACAAAACCCAGAACCCTTTTAAACACTTGAGTCGATTATTCGCCCACAAAGTTGGTCCTGCCTTGAGAAGTAAGTGCTTTGGTGTTTTGAACTTCAAAGCACAGTAGTATCCTTAGGAAAATTTAGAGGAAATTAAGGGATGCAAACAACTCCCCCCCCAAAAAAACAAAACAAAAAACCTAGCTCCTGGGGGCTGCCTGTATCCCACCACCATCTGCACCTTTGGCAATTTAGTACGAGAAGACTCACTGTCTGATTAATTCAGATCCATTTGCCATCTAGAAGGTGCCTGGAATCATGCAATGAAAGCAGGGGTGGGCTTTGGGAGTGGGGAAAGCTGAGATCAGACATTCATTCAATGAACACCTATCCATAAAGAATATTACAAAAGATAAAGAAGGATACTACATAATGATCAAGGGATCAATCCAAAAGGAAGACATAACAATTGTAAATATTTATGCACCCAACATAGGAACACCTGAAGCCCCTGGTGGCTCAGATGGTAAAGAGTCTGCCTGCAATGTGGGAGACATGGGTTTGATCCCTGGGTCAGGAAGATCCCCTGAAGAGGGAAAGGGCAACCCACTCCAGTATTCTTGCCTGTAAAATCCCATGGATGGAGGAGCCTGGGAGGCTACCATTGATGGGGTCGCAAAGAATTGGACGCGAGTAAGCAACTTGCACATTCATTCAGCATAAGCCCCCCCTCCCCCCAGTTTCCCTGACTTCCTTTCTCTGACCTTCTACATGTACAATCCCCAGCCTCCACACAGCAGCCCAAATGATCTTATAAAAAATGTATCTGATCTTGACCCCTCCCCCTTCTCCCGGCACTCTGGTAGCTTAGAGTCAGAGTGAGAATTCTCCCCTTGACCCCAGGGCTTTGTGGGTCCTGGGGTCTGCTGGTCTCCAGTGCTTACCACTTCTTTCTTTCTGCCTTGGAGACTTTGCACACGCTGCCTTCGTCTTTTCATCCCCCCCGACCCCCCACCCCCGGCGTATCCCCTCCTCCCATCTTCCGTCGCCCTTACCGTTACCTTGCTTTTCCAATTCTCCACTTTCATACACCCCCTCCCCAGTCTGGATCCACACCATCAGTGCTTCTGTGTCTGTCCCCTGTAAGCACCGTGAGGGCAGGATCATGTCTGTTTTGTCTGTTGTTCTGTTCCTAGCACCAAACGTGTACTAGCATGTACCTGGAATATACTAGGCACTTGATAGGTGTTCGTTGAAAGGCTGAATGGATGTACCAAACAGTTCATGGTGTAAGCTTAATTATACGCTATCTTGTGTTGTTATCCTTCACTAATTTCACCAACTAGTTTGAAAATCTTTGACATTAGGCAACATGATATCTGTCTGTCTGTCTCAGTTGCTCACAGTGCTCAGTATATGTTCAAGAAGTGTTATTGACCAACATAAATTATGAATGTTTTACACATTCATTACAGCATAGAAAACCAAGAGAGAAATTCAATTATATATTATGTGTGTCTGGGTTATTATAGGTACTTTCTGCTGATTGTCGAGGTTAACTGATAACCAAAACCAGACATAGTCTAAATTATGGAATTTCTGCCTCAAAAGAAAAGAAATCAAGTGTGATAGAAATATCTCTCTCACATTTGTATTTTATTGATTTTTGGAAACAGTCTAGATAGAGGAGTTTAGAGGACTGGTTGTGTTCAGTTTACTCTGGCGTGAGGGCATCTTCCGTGTGAGGTTATAAAAACATGCACAGTCCCATCTGCTGTGATTATAACCACCGCTAGAATTTGTCTGGCAAAAGGAACTGATTTACCATCTTTCTTTTTATTTATTTATTGGCTGCTCTGGGTCTTCGTTGCTGCGAGCAGGCTTCCTCTAGTTGCGGCAAGTGGCGGCTACTCTTCACAGGCTTCTCTTGTTGCAGAGCACGCAACTCAGTAGTTGTGGCACACAGACGTAATTGCTCCACGGCATGTGGATCTTCCTCAATGAGGAATCCAACCCGAGTCCCCTGCACTGGTAGGCAGATTCTTAACCACTGGACCACCAGGGAAGTCCCTGCTATCATCCTCTCCTGTAGTGTAAGAAGAAAGTGTTAGTCACTCAGTCGTGTCACAGCTCTTTGCAACCTGCCGGGCTCCTCCATCCATGGGATTTTCCAGGCAAGAGTACTGCATGGGCTGCCATTTCCTTCTCCAGGGAATCGAACCTGAGTCTCCTGCATTGCAGGCAGACTCTTTACTACCTGAGCCACCAGGGAAGCCTGTAATGTAGCTTGTCCTCAGCTCCTTGCTTGAGACGGCATTTGCAATGTTGATGTCCAGTGATAAAAACCTTAATGGAATACTCACTCAGGGACAGCTTTTTTCCCAATAACTTGCACAACTGAAATTCTGACCCACTGGATCTTTATTTCTATATCCAGTCCTTCTAATGGACTGTTTTTCGTTGCCATGTTGTTTTTCCAGCTCAGCAAATCTTGATGGTATAGAAAATATCTTCAGCATAAGTAGTAACAGTCTGTTTTCCCACTTTCTTTCAAATGCCTTTTGCAGACAAGAAGCCCCAAACTCTCTCACAGTCCTCAGCCTCCCAACTTGGGCGACCCAGTGGAGCATCTGTCAGAGGCGTCCGCTGATTCTTTGGAAGCCATGTCTGAGGGAGAAACTCCCAGTCCTTTCTCCAGAGGCAGCCGGACTCGGGCGAGCCTTCCGGTGGTGAGGTCCACCAACCAGACGAAAGAAAGATCTCTGGGTAAGCTTCAAAAGGCGGCTTCTGATTTTTATTACTGCATGTGTGTGCATGTATACTTCTGAACACAGACCCCTACATCGGAATGTTAGTTTGATCTTGACTTATAAAACCTCAAGTACTCAGAAACTCCGACAACTTAACATGAAGCCTTGAGGATTTACTTGCTGAAGAAGCATCTAGTCCAGGCGGTCTCTGGGGCTGGGCACGTGCAGAACGGGCTGGGGTTGGCCACTCAAACAAGAGGCTGGCTGTGCTTGTCTGTGTCCTGGTAGGGAATAGCAAGGGCCACTTTGCCAAATGAGCCTCATTTCTTAGGAACCTCCTCCCCAGTTTCAGAATTGTGGACAGATGGGGTATGAGCCCCACTCCACTGTCTGATAGTCCAGGGGAGGACGTGATTGGCTCCAGGAGGAAGAGGTGCAGTGTGGCCAGCACCCCTATGACTGGTCATGAAAGCCAGAAACACCGGGCTGTTGGCCCTGCCACCACATGGAAGGGTGGAGGGGCTTAGCAAGAGTCTAGCATAGCCTTTTCTTTCAACAGGCTTTTAAGAGACACAGGATTCTGTCCTGCTTTTACCTGTGCTTATGCTCCGCTGCTTCAGTTGCGTGGAACTCTTTGAGACCCTATGGGCCGTCGTAGCCCCCTAGGCTCCTCTGTCCCTGGGGCTGTCCAGGCAAGAATATTGGTGTGGGTTGCCATGCCCTCCTCCAGGGGATCTTCCTGACACAGGGATCGCAACCCACATCGCTTATATCTCCTGCATTGGCAGGTGGGTTCTTTACCACCTGGGAAGCCCCTGCCCTCACTTAGCATCTGCTTTTTCATATTGGATATTCACTTTCTATCTCGCTTTGCTTCTTTTGTCTTCCTGGCCCTTTAACAAAAGGCACAGATCCTGAAGATTTAGACATCATGTTGGTATTTCATAAGGTTAACCTGCCTTCTCAAGGTTCTGATTCGGTACCTGTGTTTGCAGACATTTGGGGTCAGGAGAGAGAGGGGACAGGAACGGATCAACCCACAGAAGGCTTCAGGGTAGGCCTCTGCAGAAGACAGCTGAATTCTGCCTCTTAAAACTGAGCAGACGCCTTGCTTGAAGAACAGAGAAGGATGTGGGGAGGTATCCTGATTTTGTTTCCTCGGTCACAGATGGTAACCAGAGCAAACTGGGTTCAGACATTGTCCTAGGTCTTTTTTTTTTTTTAAAGCTCCTCTGAGTCTCCGGTGTCATGCAGGGGGCTGTTCTCTAGTTGCAGTGTGTGGGCTTCTCGCTGGGGTGGCTTCTCTTGTTGTGGGGCATAAGCTTTAGAGTGCAGGGGCGCATGGACTCAGCAGTTGTGGTGCAAAGGTTTAGCTGCCCTGAGACATTTAGGATCTTAGTTCCCGGACCAGGGATCGAACCGATGTCCCCTGCATTGCAAGGTGAATTTTTAACCACTGGAGCACCAGGGAAGCCCTGTCGCAGGTCTTTTAAAGAGAAAAGCAAAACAAATTTTAAAATACCCCATTTTTTCTTACATTATTGGTATTCATTTTTAACCTTCAGTTTTGTATACTTCACGTTTGGTTAATAATCCAGGGTCCTCATTTTACTAGTGAAAGATGAAAGCCATGGAAAATCTCCTTTTTGTTTTCTGAGGAACATAGTTAATTAAATGGCAGAAGTGGGAAGACCCTCTAGTTCCTATTAACGCCATTTACCAATGAAGGTGTGGGGTTTGCAAGGGTGCAGTGCCCCCAGGGAGCACACAGGGCCCTGGCAGTGGCAGTAGGAGCCAGGCTGGGGCTTTCCATCTAGAGTACAGGGCTTAGTGTTCTCTTAACCCCACTCCTGCTTGAGGCAGGAGCCCAGGAACCAGCCAAGGAGTGGAATTTCTCCTTTGTGCTTTGCAGGAAATGAATGGGGTTCACTTCTCTGTAAAGATAGGCTGTGCTTTGCAAAACAGAACGAAAGAGAAGAAAAATACTTCTGCGCCTTCCCCCTTACCTGCACGCCTGTGGGATAATGGAGCCTTTGTCTTACAGGCAGGAATTTCCCCTACAGCCAAGTGCACTTGGCAATGCAGGTATCCATAGATACTGGCTGCCTTAGAAAGCCAACCGCTGGGCTTCGGGGCTGAAGGAGTTAGGACAGGCAACCTTGCCTTAGGAATTGCTGAGCGTGGCTGGTATTTTCTCATGGGCCTGCTGAACTTATGCAAAACGCTGTTTTACTCTAAGCACACCTTGCTGTGAAGTTCTGGCAAGTCCCAGCAGATTCCCAAATGCAAAGGAGGTGCTTATTCTTCCTGCTCCAGGAGGAGCTTTGGGGCCAGTGATTTCCCCAACTCCTGGATGGAAAGAGAAACGCGAGGAGAGGAGAGGAGTGAGAAGTTTGCCCCTTTGAGAGGAGCCCTGGGGCCAGAAAATGAGGCTGGCCCGGGCCAGTGCGCCTGGCGCTGCCCTTGGCCGCCTCTCTGTGGCCAACTTGGGAATGTCCCCTGGCCGCACCTGGCCTTCCGGACATAATCTGATTGAGCCAGGATGGGAAATAAACAGGAAAATGAGTCAAGGAGAATCTATACAATCTCTCTGCCAGGGGCCTTGCTGGCCTCCTGTTCGAAAAAGTCCCTGTGTGCCTGACTGTATTTAACACCCAGATATGGGAACAAAAGGCTCCCCAGAGAGCAGAACTGGGAGCAGCGGGGTCCCCCAGCATTTCAGTGGTGAAGGCCATTTAGGACCCCAGACCACATAGGCTGCAGATGAAACTTGAGCTGTGATCTGCAAACCCACTCTGGGAGCCACCTGCAAGCCCCGGGTTTCCTTTGGGGTCAGTGCAATGTCATTTTGTCTTAATCCACGGAACTTTAGCACCTTCCCACCCAAGTCCTGTTCACCTTGTGTTTAAATTTGTCATGGCTGGTTCTTCATGGATTATTGCGTTAATTTTGGTTTATCTTGCTTACTGAGTTTTGGAGGGGGGCCCGTAAATTGTACGCCTGAGGTGAGTGCCTCCCTCGCCTCACCCCAATATCTGCCTATGTGTCACGCCAAGGATATCGCGTATCATCCAGGCGACCTCCAGCCACAGGGCCCGGAAGAGGCGGGGGCGGGAGAGCCCGGCTCCCAGGCTTCGCTTCTGCACATGCGCAGTGTGTCACTGGCGCCCTTCCCCAGTCCTGGGCAGGGTCTGGACCAATTCTCCCACCGCTCCCGCTCCTTGGAGGGGATGCGACCTTGCTTTCACTTAAGGCAGCCTGTGCCTGGAGATAAACCTGCTGGCTTAATCATTTTTTCACTTGAATAATCCTACCTTTCTACTGCTTTGGCGTATTTAGGATATGGGAGGAGCACGGGCTTGGTGCATTGCGCAGAGGCTTTTAGAAGATGTGCCAGAGAAAGATGGGACAGCTCTGAGGCGCTGATTAGGACAGAGAAGGGAGGCATTGCTGGTGCCCGTGTAATAGTGTCCAGCGCTGCCCTGCATGCAAGGTGGGAGCTTCTCATTCCAGGATTTCAGGTGAGGCCAAGTGACAGCAAAACGCAGAAATCTTGTCTGATGCTGGGAGCCAACTAGTCACTCTCAGAGATTTACAAAGCTGAAAAGTAAAGAAAGAAATTCGCTCAGCTGCTCTGATTTATAACATGACCAAGTTCCAAAGATCTGTCACCTCTAAATCTTAACTTCTACGGAGTAGTGGGTTCCCCAGCACACTCCACACATGCAGAGACCAAATGAAATTCTTCTCAGTGGAATTTATGCCATTTCTGCTTCCCTTTCTCTTTGGTGAAAAGAGAGATGGTTCAGGGAAGGAAATCTCCAAAAGAAAGTAAAAACCATTTTGCCATAGAGTTAAGTTTTAGAAATCATTTCCGTGTAAAATTGTCCCGCGGTTATTAGGTCTGGGTCTTAATGATGGAGTCGTTTCCTTTTAGTCATTGCTGTCTTATAAATGTCTGTCTGGAACGCAACCACGGGCAGGGGCTGGGGTCTGGCTGCTCCACAGTCGGCCGTGAGGGAAAGAAGAGACACAAGTTGTTCCCACCCTTCTGTGTACCCTCAGGAATTTGAAAATAAAACTCATATAAAAACACAGAGCAGCAACTTCCTCCTCGCTGCAGCCAGATGCCTTGGGTGACCGTATCCTGAACGGTTAGCTTTGGAAAAGATACCTTCCTTACCAGCCCAGCAGCCAGAGGTGCTGCCATTTCTGTAGCAGATTCCTCTTAAACACTCAGCCTCAATAAACAAGAATGATTTTTAAAGGCTCCGGAGGATTTGAGACTCTTCAAGGGAGAACTTGCTCAACGCATGTGACTCGTTGAGTATCTTTGGGGCTGTTCTCTTACTTTGAGGTGGTGACAGTGATGGGTACCATATAGGAACAGAAAGTTCACCGCTGCCAGAACCTCCCCACCTGTGCAGAAGAGTGAGTAGGAGGTTAGAGAAAAAGATGGAGGAAACGTGCGGAAAACCAAGAAGGTTTATGGGCAAAGACTGTGAGCCTCGTATTAAGATTGTTTGAGCATGAAGAGGTGGCCTCTGGAGAGTTAAAAAAAAAAAAAAAGAATTTCAGACACATGGAAAGAACAATATTGCTGTACAGAGTAAAGAAAGCACTTAAGGGATTTAGGTGCCAGTAGTGATTGACATGCAATATTATAAAAACTAAAATTTACAGAAGAGAGTTTGGTTGTAGGTCAGTAGCTTGGGAGCACGTTCCTGACCTTTATAGGATGCCATCAAAGAAAAGGTGAAAGGGTCATTTCTAGCTCGGGAACTCAGTGAGTGGGGTAGGAGGATACAGCGACTGGCCACTGTGGTCCACTCCAGTCTCCTTCTAGCATTCCTTCTTTTACTTTGGAGGCTGGAAAGCAGAATCATTTTGGAATAGCAGATATGCTGGGTTCCAGAAGTAGGGACCAAGACATTTGTGGATGCTTTGGGTTTTCTTCAGCATCATTTGCTGAGCGGTCTCAGGGCATAGCCACTCACTTGATAGAGTTGCAATCTG